CCCACACAAGGGACAGCGGATGAGTTTTATGATTACAGAACCACAGCCATGCATCATTTGGTTAGGCTCCCAATACTACGGTACACAATCTGCCTGCTGTTATGTGTGTGATTGTGAATGCATATATATTTGTGCGTGTGGGCGAGTGAGTTTATTTGCATGCCCTCATGTGTGCACCAGCATCTGTGTTTCTTTTTAAGTGGCCTCCTATACCTGCATGTGTCTCGGCTCGTGTTTGGATGGGTTACCTTGTGTGTGAGTAAGTGTGCAATGTATATTGTTGTTTTGAAGGTGTGTGTTACATTGTGTGCATGTAGGAATTAGGTTGGTGGAGACACAGGTAGACAGAGGGAGGCTCTGCTGTGTTCACACTAAGTGCAGCAGGGGTGCGGAAATGCCGTTCTTGGCAACATACGTGTAACATGTGTGCCTGGTAGGTGGCTTGCGACACACCAATGGTATGTGCCAGTTAGTAACACCAGGTACCAGAGAGGACCTGTGCCAATCTTCTGCCAACGCCATGGGGCTCATTCAGGGCAGAGAAACCTCCACTAGCAGGTAGAAGTGAATGTCCTTCACTAATACAAGCAATATTTTCTAAAAGTATTCACAACCAGACCAAGCAGAAACGGAAACATAATGTAGTTTATTATATTTGTTTAATAATTTCTGTATTCATCGTGTTCATCTTTACACTTCCTTGAACCATTTGCCTCAGGGGTGTGTGTGTGTGTGTGTCTGCTTCAGTTGAGTACAACATTTTTAGACAGGTGCGACTCACCAGTGTTATGCCTTTGTGCGCCTGTCCTTGCGTCAGGGTCTGTAGTACGTGTCTCTATTTGTGTGTTTGTGTGTTTCCTGGCCTCCAGTGGTGCATTGGGAGACAAAGCAGTGTCTGGTTCTGTGCACGTACCGTGTTCTCATTACCACTAACAGCCTTGGGCCGGCCTCGTCATTAGAGGGAATCATTCTCAATCCAATCACCTATCGGTTACGCTACGCTACAGAGGCCCACAATCTGTCCTCGTCCAACGGCTGAGATTCCTTTGTGATGTCTCCTGAATCGCAAAGGACGAATAGCGCGACTGTGCGAGAGCAGAGAGAAAAGAAACGAGAGAGAGTCACACTTGTAAGGATGCTAGTTTCTGAAAGCAGCTGGTCAGATTACAGCACAGGTGTCTTTCCATCTAGTCATGCTGTGAAGAGAAAAGGAGTATTTTTACAGTCTATTCCATAACATTTATCTAAAGAATGTGTACAACACACAATTCATCCAACCTAATAACAAAATAAGTTGTTTTTCATGGCCTTCCAACATACATATAAGCATTTTCTGATCTGACACCCCTATTGGTAGAATGACTTTGATTAGATTAAGGCACTAAAGCTGCTTATTTATCCTTCAGTATGGAAACCTATTTTTCAGTGTCAATGTCACATGCTTTGTGGACCCATTCACCCACATCCCTTTGCACATTCCTTCACTAATTTTAAAGTCACATTTCTTCCTCCTTTGTTCCCAAAAGACAAGAATAATAACTCACCCATTCACTAGAGGGTAATGGCAGGAAAATGTAAACATTATGTAGTTGTGGGCATATGAACAAAAGGCAGATGCTTTTTTGTTTTTGTTTATATACCGTATACAATTAAAGGCTTAATTAAATAATACGGTGCTTGCATGCCTTGCATTAATTCAGGCAGTGTGCAAGACACCACCTGACTGTAAGGTGGTCTAAATGAAGCTAAACAACTGGCTGAAAGGTAATGTCAATGTGGATCAGGGGTGCAAAAAACTATTAATAATAATATAATAATAATAATTAATAATAAATAATAATAATATAATAAAAAATAATAATAATAAATTATTATTATTTTTTATTATTAATTATTATTATTATTATTGTCGGCTGCCAGAAAATCTCAGATTTCATTAAAAAATTCTCTCAAAATACATGGTCAGCAAAAACAAAAACCTTGGGGTAAACTTTCACTAGATATAGTTTCAAGAGGAAATATCGTGTTACTTTCTCTATGAAAAGTGTTTATTTTGCATGTTTTGAACAAATCATTACATGCTTGACTTCAGGTGTTTTCGTCGATCACTTGTGGGAATTCAGGATATCAGAGACGAATCAGATAATTTGTCCCAAAACAACTTGCAATAAAAAGCTACATACCTAAAACAGAAGACCTTTTGCCAAGCAGGTTCTCAGTTCATACGGCATTTAGTAGAACGAACAGAATAAAATAGTATTTTCTAGTTCAGAAATAATTAAATTCACTCTATTGGTAAAGTCACTCACTTGATACAAAAATAACTCCATTGCTCGAATGCTGTGTAAGGACAGGAAACAGCTGGTAAAGCCTTTGCAGCCAAACATGACAGCTTCACAATGGTGCTGTTGAGCTTTAATGACAACATAACCAGAATCGGTAGAAGTTCTTCTCAGTAGCTGCATGGTAACGAGATTCAGTTAACAACAACATTACACTTAGACAGACATCTATATAACATATCACACATTTAATTAGAGATTAAGTAAAGTCTGTTCTGTACCCTTACGTCACATTGCTTCTACTTAAATTAATTGATTTTTTCATATTAATTATCCAACATCTTCACTATTGCATGTTGCCATCCAAATTGCTCTCCAACTCTCCTCTTTCCTTCATTTTGTATCACCCTTCTCATTGTTTTATACTCTCCCACCAGTCCCTCCCTGCATGTTGGTGATGGTGGTGGCTGTGCAGGTAGGGAATATGAATTACCTGGCAGGCAGGCGGTGTTCTGCTTGGAAGACTGCTGTCAGCATGGTGAGGATGGATGAGGAGAGACAGGAGAGAGATGAGACTGACAGCTCCAGCCAACCTTCATCCATCCATCCATCCATCCATCCACCCACGCCTACCATCCACCCTCCCTCCCTCCCTCCCTCCCTCCTTTCTGTCTCACCCTCCCTCTCCCTCCCTCCCTCCCTCCCTCCCTCCTTCCCTCCCTCCCTCCCTCCTTCCCTCCCTCCTTTCTGTCTCACCCTCCCTCTTTGCCACCCCTAAAATCCTTGGCCTTGATAAGGTACAAAAAATATTTGCCACAACTTATCTGGCTTAAAAAAAAGAATAATGAGGCTGTCACATCAAATGGGAAAACATATCAAAATCTAGCAATAAAATACCTGCACTAAAATCAACTGACCAGATATAGGTAATATCAAGGAAACTATAAAATATAATTGAGTCAAATATTGTTTTTTTATTTCATAGAGGCGATGCTCAATGCTCAGCTCATACCTTGTACTAGACTTGCTCGTTGGTGGTTTGCACAAAATGATGTTTATTTAGTGGGGGCTTCTTTGTTGCTGATGACTACCAATCAGTTATGTTACTTTAATGGTTAAGCTTTTTGTGTCTTTTCTTTTGAGTCAGACTCGATGAACTACTACACACTAGCACACCTAACTTTTTTAAAAATTTCCAGTGGACATCAATGTAGAAAGGATTTGAAAGGATATTTAGAGTTTGGATTAACAATACTAATGCAGAGTTGGCAGTAGACTTGCTGGACTGGTAAGCATCTTAATGATGCATTATTTTACCAAGATTCTGTGGTACTCTCATTGTGTCTGCTCTTGTGAGGTGGACACAGAAAAAATGACATGTAGTTTGACAAAAAAGAGGCAAATATCCACATACTGATGCACAATGGTCTGATCCCTGGTTCATAATAAAAGTTATGACCTTTCGAGGTGGTTGTTGGCTTAATGCTGAAAATCCCTCCATTTCTTGTTTAATGATGCACAGCAATGCAGGAAGATTGCAGGTTCATCCAGAAATTCCTGGAACTTTGTTTTCCCTCCTAATCTAAGATGGGGAAGTGAGATTGTCCTGTTGGACTCATGTTTTCTCAACAGGTGTGGGGCCGCTCTCCAGGAAGCATTCAGTCTTCATTAAACATCTTTAATAAGTCTATAAATAAAAGGTTACTAGGTTTAATTTGCCTGAAATATCACAAAACTGAGTCAGACCAAACTCCATTGACAGATCTGCTAATTCTGAAATTCCGAAAACAGGAAAAACTGTGAGAAACATATCAGCAAAATGCTACAGAACAACAAATGCTGGCAGTATTCGTTGAATATCATAGCTATGAATTTGCACCTTCTCCCAACAATGCATGACTTGCAATGTGTTTGTTTTGTGAACAAGTGTTTTCAAATGAGGCCATGAAACCTTCAAGTCTCAAGAAGCACCTTACGAAGATCCACCCGGACAAGACAGACAAGGAGCACCAAGGCTCTCAAAGAGAAGCATGGTACGAGGACTATCTTCACGAAGAAGACCAGTCAGTAGTATCGTATAACATCTTCCTGCTGACAGCCAAATGTTGACAGCCGTTCACAATCGGAGTTCATGCACCCTGTGAGCAAAGAGGTATTTTCTACTGTGACAGAGTGCGATTCCACACAGGTGCTGGAATCCATCCCACTCAGCAATGACACTGTGGCACGAAGGATCAATGAAATGGGCGCCGATTCAGAGGAGCAGCTCTGTGCCATCCTGCAGGACTTTCCATTCAGCCTTCAGCTGGATGAGACAGCCACCTCTGACAACTATGTTGATGGTGTATATCTGCTATAAAGCCCCAGGATAGACCATTTTTTTGACCAGTTTCCATGAATGTTAATGCACTTTATGCCTTTCAATGCTGTGCCATTGATGGTGTCCCCTCCGTGATTGGCAGGTACTGTAGGATCACGTCCCAAATATCCTCACAGTCCAGTGTGTTGCACTGCCACAACCTTGTGGCCAAATCCAAGTCCACCTCTCCGTGAGTTTCTCACTGTTGCAGTCAGGGCAATAAATAAAATAAAAGCACATGCCCTGAAGGACAGGCTGTTGTGAAAGCTGTGTCAGAAAAACAATGAGACATTTGAGGTTCTTCTTTTTCATACTGATGTCCGCTGGCTCATAAAAAGAAAATTGCTTGTTTTTGTGAGCTGTTAAACAGCATCGTGGAGTTCCTGGAGGAGGTTGATGCAGCTCTCTGGGAAAAGGTGTCATGTACCTCACAGACCTTTTGGGAAAGATTAAAAAAGTCACGTTAAAGCTCCAGGGAAAAGGTGTTACTCTGGTCCAGTGCAAGATGGTCACCCACAGTCTCACCTCCAGACTGCATCTGTACAGGCAGAGCACAGGCAAGAGGCAGTTTGCTTATTTTGTAGTGTGTCATTATGTGTAATATGTTGTAATGTTTATTGCATTGACTTGTATAGTATAGTAAATATAGGTCTATATAAGTAATAATCCAATAATTAGCAATAAAATAACCACTTAATCTGTGAGGATCGTCTAAAAATCTGTACGGAGAACAATATGTTTCTTGTACTCATTGCAGATGTCTCTTACGATCACGTCTCATTTACACTGACCACCTGAGGACAGTTAAGGCTGACAGATCCGCTTCAGGAAGTTTCCCATCTGGGTGGTGCAGGCCTTTCAGGCGGATATGACTGCTGAAACTTATTTTCTCTGAATCCCACAGTGAACCACCAATCACATGGCTCGCACTAACTTCCAAAGCAAATTAGCTCATTTTCTTTAAAAGAAAAGATTTTTTCCCAGTAACCTCAGACTGCTTCTTTTGTAAACCACTCTTGTTTGGCATTTCTGATTGGCTGCTATTTGTGATCAACACCTAATAAAATTTTGAAAGTCAGATATCTAACTCTTGCATTTGTTTTACACTTTTTCTAGGGCTGGGCACTTATCGCGATAACTCATTAATTAACGCCGACAATTATTTTATCACACTTTAACGCTGTTTTCATTGTTATTATTATAATTATCATTATTTTGAAAGTCCGTTGCTCGCTTGCTCTGAATACACATACATTCAAACCATGGGTCACAGGAGGGGTAGGATATTGATCAGCCTGCAAATCACCCACCCAAACAAGCAGCGGAGGGAGGCTTCGTCAGACTACGTTAGATGAAGCGAGTGGGAGAAGTAGATAAACAAAAGCAAGACAAGCAATGAAATGCCATAGCGACATGGATAGCTACACTCTGCATGCTAATTAGTATTGTGAAGATGTCGATCTTAGAACATTCTTAAAAAACACCTTGGCCCTGCGGGGTTGCTCCGCATACATAATTTTACCCGATAGGCCTTCATCTAGTTTTGATGCTCTGTCTACGAATTCCCTCCAGTTGATGTCCTATATAGTAAACCGTAATAGATTCTGGAAACTCTCAAACAGCGAGGATCAGTCTCTCTTCCAACGATTTGTGCTCCACGTCGCATACAAAAAGTTCAAGACAATTAAACTTTGGCGGCGGGTGTGTGCGTGACGGGAATGTGCCCGCTTGTCGCGCGACGCCTTGTGCTCGACCACTTCACCTTCACTCTAACACGGAAACTTGCTACTTAACATAGACTGTTTATGCTGCTCCCTGATAAAAGAAAAATGTTTCTGCTGATACGTGTTCAGGAAAAAAAAAACAAGGAAACAGATTTATATATGTTAACCTGTTACTCAGAAGGTGCCTGTTATGATCGTGGCTCTGGACTCTAACTTGTTTTAACAAGCTATAAAAGGTAATGCCCTGGCAGTGGCAAATAGCTTTGGTTTTATATTTTGATTTGATTACATTCATTTTTAAATTGAGATTCACAAGAAATATTTTATTGCTACTGTGTAAAGGGAATACTGCTGGTAAAAAGCACCTTATTTGCTTAAAGTGTTTCCAAACCACGTTATTGCACTTTTGTGGAAATAGCAGTACATTTAAATTAAAAGTGCGCAATACAATAATAATAATTCATTATTCAATTTTGCGCATAACATTACGATTAATCACAGAAAAGCATGAATTTTGACTTATTTAATGTATTAAGTTAAGTAACGTTATGTATGTGAGTTAAATCATGTAACATAAGTAATGTTAGTCACGTGATGCTTACGTAACTTAGTTATTTTAACTCAAACCATGATCTTTTGCTAAACCTAACCCAAGTAGTTTTGTTGCCTAAACCTAACCAAACTGCAACTTACGTCACGTGAATCACATACCGTCTTTAAGGTCCAGTAAGACTGTTGCTGCACTTATATATGATGGGGAACGGCCATATTTGGGATTTGGGAATCACTGACAATCGACTTATTTTGTCATTTAGGTATGAGGAACACTGAAACACTAACCCAGTAATGTACTCCATGAACCACTGAAAGCTTATCGCCAAACTATATTTTAATATAATTCAAATATATTAAGGTGTAAGTAGCTCATATCTTTAGATTTTAAAAGTTACCTAATTCTCACTTGCATGTTTTTTCTTTCTTCTATTTTTAATTCTAGCAATTTTTTTTTGTAGCTTTGTTCCTTTTTTATTTGTCCCTCTTCCTTGTCTCTGTGTCCTCAGTGTGACTCTGGTGCCGATAAGCTGAGGCAGAGGTATCAGGCAGCGCCACCCATGCAGGGATCCATTAGGCAAAAACCAATTTCACACAGAGCCAATTTCATAAATATGGAGTATGGGCCCACCTTTAGCTGTGCTTGACTAGCTTTTAGAGGGATATACAAAACCATAAACAACGAGCTTGTGCCTGAGCACTCCTTTTAAATGATAGCTGTGGCATGGACATAAACACATTAAGGTGTAATTTTAACAATTTAATGAGGAACAAAATGCACAGCCCTATGGTAGGGTCTGTGAGTAGTTAGAGAAATATAGAACAGCCTAATAATGCTGTTCATTCAGTGTGTGTAGATGTAAAATGTGCAAACGCATTGTTTTAATCTCTGTCTGTTAAGGTATTTCCCATACACCATTTTTACTTTGGCTTGAATTTATTTTATCTTTATTCCATGTTCCGAGAAGCTCTTTGTAAAAGTTTTTTCAAACAATGGCATGCAAGTAGTTATAATATTGAAAATCAGCACACAGTACTGCACTGCCCAGCCTTATCACTTCCTGTCAGTGACCATCTCCTCCAAACAACCCAGCTACTCCTTATCTATCCAGACTTTCTTATGTATCTCATTTAAAAAAGTATTTTTTCATTTATGTAGCACCTTTATAACTGGCCCTGTAGCTTGTTTTCACAACCACATTTCCACACCAGTGGCGGTAGAGCTGCCATGCAAGAGACTTGCTGCTCAATTTGTATTGCTCATTGTTCAGCCTGGTGGTTGGTGGTACCATTTCCAGGTAAACTGTTGAGTCCCCGTCCTGGCGAATCACAGACAGGTGTGCTTGGTCCTCCCAGATTTGTATTACCCTACTTCCCTTCCATAAGCACGAGACTCATCTTAAGATTTGGGCTCACTGAGAAAGGTGGCTATCTCAAATAGTTATGATTATCAAAAAAACTAAGAAATTTGAGTGGGGTGATGAGGTCAACAGAGGAGAGCTTTAAGGGTATAATTGGATCTCACTATCTGACGTTGAAGGGACCATCATTGCACTGGACAGTCCAGGTTTAAGCTTTTTGCTGGCAATCGGCCATCACTGTGGAAGATGCTAAATCTTAATTTTATTCTGAAGCTAACCGTGACCTGCGGCCTCCCTCTGGAAGTTCTGGGGTGATAATAGTATTTTTTATTGTTGTAATATGTGGGTACATTTATTTGAAATCTTAAGTTAAAGGTTACTTTATATATTCAGATAGTTTACTTACAAAACACATTTTGATGATATGGTAATGATGCAACTTTTAAAATTAGCCTCACTGTGACAAGCTACAACAGAATGCTCACATATGAGTGCAGCAGCAATGCATTGTAATGTATGTAATGCAGTAATCTAATAAATAAATAATAAATGTCTGCATTAAACGTACTTATACTTTCTGTACATTTTGCTAATAATACGTACATACTTGAACTTAAGTTACAATTCCAATGCAGGACTTTTACTTTTTATAGTATAGTATCGCTACTTTTACTTAAGTACTGTAAAGGATCTTAATACTTCCTCCACCACTGTCTGGGTTTTGGAATGAAAATAAGAACTCACAAGAATAAGTTACAAAGTGCTTTACAAGATAAACAGCTCACATTATGCTAATGCAAGAAGCATTTTTGCACAAGATAGCACAGCTCCATCTTTAGAGCACTCACATGCTTCTATTTTTTTCCACAGTCCAGGGCCTATTTTCTCTAAAATGAACATCTGAGGTCGCAGATGAATATATGAAATTTTAGAGATAGAGATGCAGTCTTAGACTGACTTCCCTAGTTTGCATTCCTTCCCCTGAACCAAAACTACAGCATATCTCTTTGCGTGACCTCAAAGTCATGTTTCCTTTCAGCTTTTATTGAGGTTTCAAAGAGGATACTTCCCACCACAAAGTTCTTTGGTGTTTATAATGGTCTTTACTCTGGAAATGAGTCGATCTACACTTGCTTAATGTCGGCTCATATCATATAAGTATGTTTTTTTTTTAATACCAGAAACATGCTCATTGCTCACTCTCTTGCTGCTCTAGAGCCCATTACAGAATTCCTTGATCTCTCAAATGATTTGTGAAATTGAAAGTTATGCAAAGGAGCAGCCTATACTGTAGCCTGTCATAATGTTGTTCCTGGGGGTTGTCTAAAACACAACCTCACAACAATAAAGGAACAGCTTCAGTTAGGTTCAAATGAGGCTCAATTTGCTGTATTTAAATATTTTCTAACCAATGAATGAATCTTTAAAACATACTGCGTACTACTGCATGTGTATTGGTTTGATGAAGGAGAGTTGGCTAATTGCCCATAGGGTAGGTAATCAATACTGTGTGTTGCAATGCTATCAAGATCAGAGCTTCCTCCCAGAAAGTTGTTATTTTAAACACATGGACATCCTACATCATGCGTTGCCTTACAGTGCATTACACCAGGCTTTTGATGAATGCCACTCATAATTATTGAATGATGTTTCATTTGATAATTTAAGCCATCGCCACAGACAGCTCTCCACACCGAATATACAGGGAAAAGAAGACAATCCCTATAATTACTCTCACCTGCAAACCTAAGAGCACCTCTGAGTTCAGTCAGCACTCAGTCAGTACTGTTTGATCCCTGATAAAACGTAAGGCCTTGAGGATGGTGCAACCCAAACGGCATACTCCTCTGTGTTTCTTGTGACAGTTGCCCATATTTATCATAATTTAGTTTTAATTATAAGACAATATTTAAATCCCATGCACATTATCACACATCATTGCTTTGCCCCTGTGTTATACAGTATATATTATTGTTGTGTGTAACTAATTCTCCAGTTGACCTTTGCGATGGTGGCAGTTGTGGCTGCTGAGTGTCAATGGAAAGCCTCACCATAGGGGGGAATCAGCCACAGTGGAAGAAAGTGGGATCTGTGCATTTCTGCTCTGAAGAGTTGTCCACACTCATTAACTGCAAGCAGAGCATCTCTGCACGGGAGGACAGCGGGGGAAAGTGGATGTGAGCAGTTGAGCGGTGGAGATACTATCAAAACATCATGTTGCTGTGAGTGGAGTTATTTTGAAATTGTGTGTTAGTGTGTCTTGCTTTTGTCCATGTTTGTTTTATTGGGATGAAAAAAAAACTCCTGTTGAGCAAATGACAGGATAGCAAACTATAAACATATATTCTATGTACATATTTGCTGCACTCTTTTGTAGAGCTGCCATTTGCACTATGACACAACAATTCCTGGAGAAATCCACCAATGAGGATGGGAATTTT